TGCTAATAAGCACCTTAAATCATTGCAAAGAATTTGTTGCGAAAAATATTACCTCAGTGAGGATATTTTTACAATGTTTTTTCCTTTCGGGATATTGCGTAGTTAATTTATGTCAAAAATAACTAATTGCGGAAACACTGAGAAAGAGATATAAAAATCTCTGTATTATTTCGTACCGTTAATTGAAACGTGTTTATCGTTTTCTCTGATTGTTCTCCGTAAAATCGTTTGATTACGCTCGAAAGCTTTATACGGTTAAATGAACTTTGATCAGTAAGTAAATTGTACGCGAGTTTTTATCGTGGGAAAATTTTCACACAACGGATTGTCTTTTTTAACAACGTATTTTGTTATTCATTCACGTTAGACATTGCTAAACGGAATTAAAAAAAAATACTTTAACGGAGGATATCGCTGTGCATGAATTTTACATTCTTCAAAAATTTCATTGACCCACTTAACCCGATTCGGTTATTCATGGCTTTGTTAAAGCTTAAAGTGACACGACGATACAATATTCAGTTCTCAGCGACAACGAGAGGATTGGATCGTACAGATCCAATCAAGTCAAACGTTGATACATTCCAAAGCCTTGACTTGACACCGAGAGATGGACAATAAGACGTTTCGAATATCATATTCCTGACCTGCATCATAGGTTAACAATAACTTCTGGAATAATTATTTTCAATTACTTCCAAAATTTTTAGACCTCATAACGATCTCTAATCCGAATCTTTTGGGATTTAAAATTTACGATACGCAGATAAAATGTATTAATTATAAAAGAAGGTTCTACACTCTAAAAAATATCGATATAAAAATTTAATCGATTGTGACGGTGTTTTATATAATTCTCACTGTGTTGCGCAGTATAAAAAAATATTTTATATTTTTATTGAAAACAAAGATCGATCTATTTATCTTTAAAATTTTGTATTGAATTTTTAACATATTCGAGTGTTAACATATTGTGATTATATTATTTAAAGATTTTTATTAAATTGATATTTAATATTTTTTAGAATCAAAATGACACACTTTATGAATACACTGAAAAAAGAAGTGTTTAATTTTGAGATATTAAAATGTTTTAATCTTATCTCCATTTTTTAAACATTTAAAGATATTTTAGTTTTAAACTTTTTCAATAGACAAAATATTGTGTTTAAATTTAAAACATTTTGCGTTTTGTCTAAAAGTTTAAAATTAAAACCTCTTTAAAACATGAGGACAAGAATAAAACACATTTTTATAGTATATTAGTGAATAAATAATATAAAAACACGTGTTAATTTAATATAAATGTTAATTATATTGAAAAAATATGCTTCCATAGTTTGTTTATAAATTGTGCGCCAATATTATCTTTTTTGTGATAATTTTTTTGCGTAACATTTATGTTACTTTCTAACATATTCATCTTGTGTGAAATTAACGCAAAAATTTAAGTGGGCTGTTTGTGAATACCCTTCTCTAAATAAAAACTTCGTCATTCGGAATCAACGTTAAACTGTAGGTTTAAATATGATCCCCATGAACTGTGTACGAAATTACGAATTCGTCAGAAATGGACAGTAACTTTCTATCTGGAAATATAAGTTTGTGCAACTTTCAGCAAAGAACAAAATCGTGTTCTTTCTCCTTTGTTTCATGTAATATGTATAACTACAAAACTCACACAAATATTTCTGAATGAAATTATTATTATATATTACCAAGACAATGCTACGAGCCTGAAGAGCTGTTATTTTTATAAATGTTACTCGAATTTAACCGATTTTATGTCATTTCTGAAGTATATTTTTAGAATGAGCTATAGAATGCGTTAAGCGCAGTTAAGCGTGGTTTCAGTTAACTGAAAATTCTTCATTGCTGTAGATAATGATTTCTATCTCATTCCAATGTCTTTTAATTCCGATGTATCATAGAAGCGGCGCTATCGTTTTTTTTTTATCGCGTTATCAAGAATAGATCAATTTTTTCTTTTCCATTTCGAAACCTATAAGTTAATTAAATTGAATTCTATTTTTAAATGTCGCCTTCTCGCGTATAAATAATTATCGGATATAACATCTATATCATGTGATATTCGACTTATATAAATTTTCGTTCCTTGCATATTCTTCGTGGATTTATTACATTATTATCATTAGTGACTTATACACATTAATTTTTTTTTGTGAAAAAGATATGTCGATTCATTTACTAATCTTGACGGAATTCCTACATTTGATGGTATGAGAAATTCGAATTTTTTGTTAACAATTTCAAAGCTACTCTATTTCTCTGAGGATATATGTAATATGTGACGAATTAAATAAACAAGCTGTATGTATACTGAAGATGACTCAGAATTATGGATTGAAATGTTTATCGAAATTATAATTTATATATTAGGTGTTGGAATTAATTCGTAGCGTTTTACAAGTGATGGGAAGTACTTTCATTAATGTATTTTTTAATGCTCATGTGAAATAAATAACATTCTTTCATTAAAAACGCTACGAATTAATTCCAACACCTAATATAATAAAGATAAAAATTATTTCAGCACTAAGAAATGTTGAACATTAATTTAACACGAAATATTCAAATAACACAATCATATTATGTTAAATTAGCATTCGGATATATTACAAATTCAACACAAAAATGTTTACAAAAAAATTTTTAACAAATACAAAATATTCTATACTAATAATTGTGTTACATCGACGCGCTAATAAACGTATATCGGATTTCGTTATCGTATTTTAATTGATCGATTTAATTGATCGAATTTAATCGATGAGGTACTCTAGGGGATCAATCTTGACACGATGAGGCTAACAATTTGCTCGTTTGTTGCAGGTCCCTAGAACTCGCCGCCTTGTACTGAATACCAGTCCAATCGATTGGAGGAAAACGAGAACTTTCCTCTGAAGACGTTGGTGCTCCGTATCCACGGTGGAAATCCCTATTTTCACCGTAACTCGCCGTTTCACATTCGCGTGTCTACATCCCCCTTTTTCCTTACCCTTATTTCACTGTTCCCTTCCGTCATCACGAAACGATCTCTCGATAGCTGATAGATCGAATCCACGAGTTCTTTCTTCGCGGGGCGAGAAGCAGGTGCGAAACGAAACGAGTCGTGTCGTGATATATCATCGCCAGGCACAATGGCTTGTGAATTCTTTAAGGTGAGTCTGTATTTCTTCATTTATGATAGATGGCCTGTTTCGGAAAGAGAGAAAGCTCCGTGTTGCGAATACAATATCGGTCATTACGAATAAAACGGTTCTACACGTGGAAATTTATGAGATCTTATATTTCGTACGTAACACGTTATGTGTTCGTACATATAGAGCTCATTTTCGTAATGTCATGAAAAAGATTGACGGTTGAATCATTATATGAAAGTTTTAGAATTGGAGACACTAAGTTCGTAATTTGTCCTCTTTAAATATGAAGCTCTGTCTGCGTCTGAGAGTCTCTGTAAGTGGACCTCATAATATATGGACTTCAATCTCCGCGATCCTTGCACGAAAAGAATGATTTTGCTAAAGTATTATATCTGAAAGTTTAGTTAGATGGAGATTTGAAGATATAATTATGTTGAACCATCGAAATAATTATACTGAACACTCAAATTTACTAGAATTTTACTAACAATGTAATTAGGATGTCCAAATTTAACTGTTACTAGAATGTCAAAATTTTTTGCAGTATTAGGATGGGAGAAAGTTATGAAACACTGTGTTATGTTATAAATACGAAATAACTTATAGATATTCAGGACGTAACTACTTTTGATACAAGTTTGTTAACCATAGAATGATATATATTATATAGATAGAAGTTCTTGGAATATATAGAACGAACATAATTCACAAAAAACTGAAGAGAGAAAAAAGTTGTGGAGAAGAGATATGATGGAATCCCATCTATAATATATAGTATATAACTTTACACGTCGGATACATTAATACATTTTATTACCAAGATAAGTTGAATTATATTTGAAAGCTACATTCAAAGAGCTCCTAGCTAATTTGAAATTACAAAATTAATAACATACTTCTCGAAATTATATAAAAAGTGTGTACACTGCATTTGTAAATCTGTTTGCTATATGGAAAGAACGGTTTTGCTGAAGTATCTAAAAATTTAGTTAGACACAAATCTGAAAATAATTTTGTTGGTCTATCAAAATATTTATGTAATTTAAACTAATTGTTAGAATATGAAAATCTTTTGCAGCATTACTTGAGTTTCCTACATAATTATTTTGATATGGTTCAACAAAATTGTTTTCAGATCTATATATAGCTAAATTTTTAGATACTTTAGGAAAACCGTCCTTTCCTGCAAAACTGAAATGCAGCTTTTACGGTAATGCAATAATTATTTACGACTAGTGGCTATGTTATCTAAGCAGATTATGGAGAAGTAATTTTGATAGTCGGGTTTCAAGAATGTACCACAAACTATACAAAATATCATGATATTTTATAATTCCCCATCTATTCCATAATCTTCTTTTTCATTATCATGCTTTAGCGTCCCACAAATTATTTTGATGATTCAACATAACTTACTTTTAGACCAGTATTTAGCCTAACTTTTATATATTTCAGCAAAACCGTTCTTTCGCAAATGTTTCTGTTTATCTTTGAATCCAAATCACCTACGAAATATAATGCGGAAAATCTTTATTTACTCGCAATGACTGTTTATACTATTATTCGTATACGAAACAAAAGGTTTTGCTTTAAATTCTTTCTAAAAATTTAGCTAAATATGGATTTGAAAATAATTATGTTAAATTATGAAAATAATTATTTTATTTGGATCATCAAAATAATATATAGAGCGTTCAAATTAGTTGCTAGAATGTTGAATCTTTTTGCAACATTATCATCGACATTTATTCTTCATCATTATTTTGATGGTCCAATAAAATTATTTTTAGATCTGTATCTAATTAAATTTTCAGATTCCTCAGCAAAACCATTCTTTCCATGTAAAAATCTCGCCTTTTTCCTCTCAAAACACTCGAAGGTACTATTCGATATTGCGCAGCAATTCGATATTGTGCAATCGGACGCGTCTAGAAAATCGAAACGTTTATATACATTCAAGTTAATTGCCGAGGTGCATTCTTAGGACGGTGGTCGCCTCGTTTGTGATTCTCCTATAGGCGACAACCGTTCGTGGCTCCCGTTTCCTCGTCACTGCAAGTCATTTAGCGGCCGTCCGAATGTGATGAGTTTAGTTTTGTTTGCGTCTACATCCCTAAAGTCTACATCCCTACGGACGGGGGACAACTTCCGCTCCGTCGGGATCGTACTTTGGAAGGCAAACGGGGTATCATTTCAGTTATCCTTTACTTCACTCGACGTCTCATATTATTAGTAACACGAGCGAAAGTTGCTCGCAGGCAACAGCAACAGCAATAGCAGCAGCAGCAGCAACAGCAGCAGCAGCAGCAGCAGCAGCTATAGCAACGCGTGCTGCTGCATATTTTGTATATGCGCATTGCCGCGTAAATTCTCCGTGAATTATTTCTTGGCGTCGTCTGATGTCGCAGACGACCGTTGCCACCGGGTTGCACATATCTCCTGAAATATCTTTTATTAATTAATACGCGGGTGCCCACCGGATGCGTTACAGATGTGCTCTGCGAGATTTAATTTTGAGGAGAGCAGCAACGCCGCCTGGACTCGACATTTTGCCAATTAGCGAGGTATCGCTATCATCGAGATATTTCGTATCACATTGCTCTTTACAGCGCGCTACGAATACGTGCAGATCAATGCTATCGCGGATACACGATACTGTTTTTTTTGCTGTATCGCGCGTTTTGTTGGCTCTGTAAAAGTCTGTATTATAATTTTGAATAATCGCAGACAAGCGACCGTTCCGAGTCATAAAAAAAGAGTCGCCACCGGCACTGTATATAAAGTCGTTAATTATCGCACCGGGCGTACGAAAACGAAAACGAGAACGGTAAAGAGAGGAAAGAGAGCGTGCTCGAGAGAGCCACTCTGTCATCGGGTTCCATCTCTTTGGTTCCATCGCAGCTTGAACGATGGCCGATTCACGCGGCTTCAAGCCAATAAACCAGTTGTGGCAGAGCGCGACAGTGTCGACGGATCAGGATTCGGAGTGTCTCTACGAGGAGATCCCGGGCCGGTCCCAGGATACGGACCGGCCGGCTGGTGCCGCCGTTGGGCAGCAGGGGGTGGAGGAAGAGGAACAGCTGGAGGAGGAGGAGAATATCGGCGGCAGCAGGAGGAGCCTCGATTTCGGGGTACAGGTTGGAGATAGCGACTTCTGGATTGATTCGGGCCGGGAGGAGATCATCGCCAGGAGCGGTACCATCCCCCGTAGCAGGACCGACGGCGGCGCGAGGTCGCGCAGTGGATCGGCCGATCGGCGACCAACGGATCGAGCGCCGCGTCAGCGGGACGTTGTCGTCGTCAGGGTGGAGGAGGAGGCGCGCTATGCCGCGCGCAGGAGTCACGTGGAGCCCGGTACAGGCGCCATACTGCCGCCTCCTGCGGCTGCCGGCCACAAGCTGACCAGGGGGCGACCCAGCGCAACCAACACCGTCGCCCGGTACTTGCATTCAGCCAGCACGAACGCCTCGGCGGCGCATTACCATCATCATCATCACGGGCTGCACGGCCAGTATCCCCCCGGCGGCAGGACGACCGGCAGGCAGCACCGCCATCATCACCCTAGCCGCGGCTCGTACAGTAATGAGACGCAGGAAGAGGTACAGGAGGACGATGAAGCCACTCTACGGGAGTTGCTCGTAAGGTACGTTCCACGCGGTAGACGACCATCGAGTATCCTCTCACTCTCTCTCCCTCCAGTTGTCGGTGTACATCGTTCTGAATCATCAGTTATCGCGTTATCGAGACAACTTCCGTAACTACACTACGCCAGCAGGAAGAAGAATCGTTGTTCTAAGTTTTGTTGATCTTTTGATAAGAGAGATACCAGCCATTGAACGGAACGATAATTGTGGTTATATTCTCTTCTCTCTTTTTTTTTGTGAGAAGCGAGATAATTTATAAATTTATATGACACAATTCAGTTGTATTATAATATATATATTTCCTGTTACAATTATAAAGAAAAAGTCTTATGTTATCAAAGAATAATTATTTGTAAAATAATTTATTACCGTTGAATTATGTAATTATTCCGAGCTCATGTAAATCATTATCAAGAAATCAACGAGGCTGTTGTAACAATTGTTAAAACACGAATTATATTATCCAAGGACAATTGGCGTCGCCACCGATGTCTCTAAGAATTATCTGGATTGTTGGACGTTGGGCAGCGCCGACAGAAGTTTGCGAAGAACCTGTGCCATCGCAAACTTCGTCAACTTCTGTCAGCGACCACAACGTTGCAAACTATTCGCGACTTTTGCAAAAATATCCCTTCACGATTATTAAAAATCATATTCGAGTGGTTTAAAGCTTATCAGTATTCGCATTGTTCGTGCCAGTTGAAACGTTAAGCTTCTACGACCGGACACGGCGATCCAGAAATAACGCGCAATATTAAGGGAATTGAACTTTCAGTGTTTGCATGAAAATCTCTTTTCTTCGGAAAAGCGCGGTCGTGGAGGATTAACGCCGCGAATGTTGCGAGCGAATGTTCAAGAATTTCTATTTAAAATATTGTTCTAACATAGTCTAGCCTTTAGAATTCTGTATTGACTTTTACATTAGTAGTGACCTCTTTTTAGGGTCTTGTATAGAAATCATACTTTACTCTTTTCATGACGAGTGAAGCGTAGAAAGTTTTCTTTTTCTAGTCTCTATACCTATCGCCTAAATCTCACGTGGCATGATAGAGTCACCATTATTCGAACGTTCAGCTCCCAGGTGATTTATTCTCGATCTGCTCTATTTCTAATATTGTTCTCTTAATCTCAGTTACAGCTCCATATTTTTAAATTTCCATCGGATAATTGCATTTCTTGTCAAATAAAATTATAAACAAGAATTATACGCGTTATAATAACACTAGTTTACAAATTTTGAATAATTTTTAATGCAAAAAGAGGAAACAATTTTTTTAAACGTATTTTTGGGCGCTGAGTCGAATTTATCGCCAAAAAAATTCACGGTTGAAGATATAGCATGTAAATTCTAAGATATAGCATGTCATTTTTAAGATATAGCATGTCAATTTTTAAGAAACAGCATTTCTTTCCGAATAATTTGAATACAAGCAATAAGCAAGGCGAACTGATTTCCAGGATTTGATGATGATGAAGAAACATGATGATATTAGGACAAAAACACACTTGGCGATTACTGCTGAACTCCAATTGTAAGGATTACGACACTCACAGAAAAATTTAAGCAGTAAGATGTGATCCGAGGTCTACAATAAAAGTCGTAGCGGTAAAGTCTTAAGTCGTAGAAAATTAACCAATCACAGTCGAATTTGAGAAGAATAATCGACTATGATTGGTCAATTTTCTATGACTTAAGACTTTACGATCCCGCATAAACAGTAAGGAAATTAACATGCTGGATTTGTCATTGTTTACGTTATGGTCTTTACTTATGAATTGATCAGTTCGCTTATTATTTACATTTTATTGCTTAATTTTTTTGTGTGCTACGACCTTAATATGTGAAACTAATTTGGATCACGACTTTAGAGTTATATTAAAAACAAAATTACACGCTTAACATTTTTTTTCAATAAAATTTCACTGTACATTGGAAAAAATATCTCTTCTTATATTTCAAAAACTGGACCAAACGGAAGTATTTCAATTTGGATTCAGCGTCAAAAATTACTTTAGAAACGGTCTTTAATCTCTCTTGTATAAAATTTTGTAAATTAGTGTAATCAGAAAAAAAACGCTACAGCAATTGTGCGCAATGTAGAAAGAAAGTAAAGAAAGTAAATTAATTATATTGTTCCTTTACTCAATACTTCAGATTCCTCTCTTGTTATCGTGTAGAATTCGGTTATTTGAACACGCTCGTCCGTTGGTTCGCATAATGGGAGCTCCATCGTGCTAATGTTAACAGTCACGAGAGACTTGGCCCTTTGAATCTCTCACGAGTAACTTAGCCTAGTACCTCCGGTAGAACGGCGTGTATGAGCTCTCGAGACTCGCATACCAATCAAGGGGACACTCCTTGCTCTCTTTTGTCCGCTGTGTTAAAGTGCGCCCCCCGCCACCCCCGAATCGATAATACTTATTTTATCGATCTCATATAAGCTTTGCTACTGACGAAAAACGACCTTACGACCGTTCTATTTCATAAACATCGTTCTCTCGAGAACCTAACTGTGTTGCAAATGCATCCAGGTAATTCCGGCCTAAGTGGCGGTGCCTTACCTTACGACAAACACGTGACCGGCATAAAAAAAGAAAGAGAAGGTAAAAAAAAAAAGGAAAAAGAAGAGAAAAACGGACGTCTTTCCCGCTTATTATTTTATATAGACTCTCTATGTATCCGAGAATGCAATGCAAGGCTTTGTGCCAAGCCATTCATCATTTATACATAAATCACACTCGCTCTTAAACTTATTCTTGTACATACTACACACTTTTCGGTCTCATAACAAGTCGATGATCAGACACTACCGATATATACCGTTGTTACTTGAATTTTTTTGGCTGCGGCGCTCGCAGGCTTACCACTGATTGCTCATTCCATTCGAAAATCATGTCTCCCTTTCGACGTCAGGTGCACAAATAAGCCCGCAATAGCACTCGCTAGAGCTCGAAACGAGGAGTAAAGACCGGAGCACCGGTAATGGCATATCCGGTTTATATATATATATACGGCATACATACCAGGACACAGGCAATTAGTTCTCAACGAAGCGACTCGCGATAAAATTCCGTTGTGCCATTGATAAAAGAATCGCGATTGCAACGAAATTGTCTACGTAATCGTAAAAAAATGTTCTAAATGAGAAGGAAAAAAAAAGAAATATCCTATCCTAGTTGATACATAATAGATGCGATTTGCAAAGTTCACTGGAAAAATCTATGTGCTTTCCAAGTACCTCAGACCAAAAAAGACACACTCACTTTTGTGTTAACGCAAATTGTTAGTCACGAGCACGAATCCTTTTCCAGCCCCTCGAGGGTTGCGCGTGTCGTAGATCCTCGTAAGACTATACGCTAAGTACTACTTTGTCGCTCGATGTGCCGTCGCTGTGACTTATTTGTGTGCGTGTCTCGATCTCTTTATCACACTCATGAGGTCATGCTGATTTTTGTAAATTATTTTGCCGACTGTTCGTTCCGCATAAAGTGATGGGCCATTCGAATTGTGCAAGCTCGCTTGTGGACGCGGGCGGCTAGGCAGGGGTGAGTAAGCTGGCGGTGCGTCGCATGGTGATGTGTGAAAAGTCTCTCCATTCACACGTGACGGCTCCGTCTCCTTTTTTTTCTTTTTTTTTAAATATATATATATATATATATATACTTATTTATATATATACATATAGAAGCGAATTGGACGTCACGATTACTAAATGCGAGCGAATATATCATTATGACATGATTTTATGACTGAACCACGACTGTGTTTCCAAACTAGGTAAAGTTTTACAGAGTGAGATAAGAGAGGAGGCAGGGGCGGGCGTCGTCGGGCCTTATACCCCCTCCCGCCGTGTACGTTACCGTGGACAACCACTTGACAACAAGCAGTTCAGAGTCAATTGATTGGATTTGGTGGATAATCCAACGTACGTACATATGTCGTGTGAACAAAGCAAAGAACAAATAGATCTCTGTGAGAATAAGACGAAATACTGAATCAAGAGGAGTGAGTGGGGAGGCATAGAGGCTACTGTAGTTTCGGAACACAGCCATGGTCTCCCTACCTCCCAGGTACATGACAACATCATCACTGCTCTCTCTCTCTCTCTCTCTCTCTCTCTCTCTCTCTTTCTTTTTGCCCCATTCTTTTTCTCCTTTCCTTTATGGAAAAATACTATTGGACTCGCGAAAAAATTATTGGAAATTATTGGAAAACCATTCAAATCGTACACCATTGTATACTATTTGTTCCAATAGGATTTTCACTAATCCAATAGTATTTTTCCACGAGGGTTGTCTCTGTCTTTATGTACACATATCAAAAATAGAATTGTACTACTTTTGTTATGCGTCTTCTTAATAATAACAATTAATTCCAATCAAGTGTCATATCACGATATTACTTAATCTCCCAATCTTTGGATGCATAGATCACTAGCTGCACTTACTCCTGAATGCGTTCCTCGAATGGACTCTTGGATGCTTGAATTCTCGATCTCCCACCTTTCTTAAACCTGTCTTTGTTCCCTGTTTATTCAACTAGGGAGGTGGTGCAATCCTTTGCTTGATAAGTGTACATATTTCCGTCTCTCTATGTCTATCTGCCCGAAACCCCTTTGTCTTCTTCCTACATCTTTTACTTTCCGTATCATCTATCCACGCCTTCGAATCATGTGCTCATTCATTTCTGCTATTCACCTGTCACTCATCATATATCTTAGAAAAAAAAGAAACTTTCGGTCTCTCTTTCTCTCGCTCTATTCTATTACATTCTCATCTTAAGACACCCTTTCTGCTTGGCTGTGCACATCGATCGATGAGTTTGCCAATTCACCGAGTCGTTCGAAAGTCGTCTTATGATTCTTCACGTATTCTACGCACAGAGCGGGTGTAAGATATCAGCCATTTTTCATTCATTCGCACATTCATGCATCATGGCCATAGAAATAATTATACATAAAGTGATATAAAGGCGATACGGTTAGGTTCGCGAGATCCTATAGACTTTTCACTGACGAGGAGAGTATCGTTCCGACGTTTCAGCAAATATTGAGGCACTAGTATCTACTTATGTCTATCTACACACACGCGAATTCACAAACTTCCATCTAATATGTGCACAGCTGCGAATATATTTGTATTCATATATATATATATATTATGTATATTACCACTGTAGTGTCTATCACCCTTCACACTCATCACACACACCCTAGACGTGCTTTTAGTGGCGTTTGTGTTTTGTCTGCTATTGTTTTCTGCAACTTGACATATATTTACTACATAAATATATATTATATAGAGAGAGAGCCGATTGTATATTTATAAAAAAATATTTATATATATGTATGTATATATTTTTTATATACACTCATATATATATGTATATATCTCGTTCACGTATTATTATATTACAACATCTACCCAACATTCCCCATGATGGCTGCCGAGCTAACGCCGGCTCGCCGCGCTTTCGAGCTCTCGGGGGTTGAAGGTGTTTCGCACTTTGCACTTGTCGAAACGTATTTCCTTTTTCATTCTACACAACGTCGCAAAACTCTGTATCCTCATATTTCAAGTATATGCGGTAACAGATAAACCATATGCACATAAAACGCGCCGCGCTAAACGGTCTCGCAGGCGGAGAGGCTCGGCAGTTAAGCGCGGAGGTAGTTGGAACTTATCTTAGGGACTTAGGCAATAGCTCTAGCCTTGAACGTCTAGTATCAGTGTGCTCGACACATGTCGATTCGCTCTCCCGTACGAATCAGCGAGATTCACGCGGGGATTATGTGTGTGGGGACAGTCTGCAGAAACAGGTCAGCGTTATGAGTATGAACCTGAGTGCCAAGCTGGACGAGCTGCAGCGGGGTGACCGCCAGCTGGAGACCACCGTCGCTCTCTGCGAGATCCGCACGCAGCTGCAGGAGCTCACGAAGAGCGTAGAGTCTTGTCAGAGCGAGGTCAGCGAGGTGAAACGGGATATGGTCACGATTAAGGTACACTCTAGCTGACGTGCCTACATCTATTTTTTTTTTTATTTATTTATCTAAACTAACAATTTAAATATCGATATCGAGACAAAAAAGAAAACATAAAAGAGAATCTTATTCTAGAAGAGATTAAATTAAGGATAGTTTTATTCAAAGTAAAATACATTTGTTCGTCGTTTCTTTTAAATTAGATGTTTAATTATTAATATTAACATTAATATAAAAAATATAAACACGTTTTGCTACGTGTAGATTAAAAATTATTACAAGGTAATTCCATCATTCTTTTTGATAATAAAAAATTTGGAGGACCGTTTGGTTTTATATTTAAAAGTGAGGATTATAGGAAAATAATATAATATTAATATTTAAAATTACGAAATATGTAGGAGTAGATAAATTGTCGCAAATCAATGTGCGTACGTGGCGTGATAGAAGAGAAAGAATACAGTTAGATTAATAGAAAGTTTGATGTCCAAGAATATAAATTTTTCACGTTATTGAAAGAGCGTTTTACCGCTCTTTCAATAATGTAAAAATTGCATTTAGTATGTACAGAAGTACTTGAGGTGTTCTTTTTCTTGACACGCAGCAAGAACTAGATACGGTACAGCAGGTCAAGGAAGAGATAGAGGAATTACGAGAGTACGTGAATCGACTGGAAGAACACTCCCATCGGCGGAAACTTAGGCTGTTGGAGCAGGTGACTTCCTGGCGTTAGACAATGTTGCTTCTCTTCGTTTTATCTGTTTTTGTTATGTTTTAAGAATTTGAGTTGCTATACCGTGTATGTATGCGTGATTTTTTAAATTATTTTTTTTTTTAAATTATTTATAATTTTTTATTTCTTCAGCGATGTATGATTTTCATGTTGCTGTTAATAAAAATTATGTGGAATAATTTTATATGTTTTTGTACTTTTATTTTATCTTACATTTACGCTGCACCTCATTAGCATTTCCTTTCCTATTATTTATATCGCATATGCTGTGCTAAATGTTATTTACGTGACGCATATGTATTATTGTTAATTATATTTTATACGGAATGCATCCACGTATTTTCCAGGGACTGACGCTTTTCCTGTCATACGCGATATTAGCTGCCGTATTGGGAATGTTACAGTTTGGATACAACACTGGAGTGATTAATGCGCCTGAAGTGGTACGTCATCAACATAAAGTCTCTATGTATACGTCTCAAATAATTTTATAAGCGAACACTCGTATAATGTATTCAAACTGTTTGCAGAACATAGAGAATTTTATGAAAGATGTATACAAGGATAGGTACGGGGAGGACATTTCGGATGATTCTGTTAAGACTTTATATTCTGTGGCCGTGAGCATATTCGCGATCGGTGGTATGGTGGGTGGTTTCAGCGGAGGGACAATTGCCAACAGATTTGGCAGGTCAGTGTCTGGTTTAGCGATATCATATTAATTTCCCAAAAGAAGATCCCGCACTAGTTATATAGAAAATTTTTAATATAACTAGTATGGGGTCATTTAAACAAGAGGCCAGTGCTTTCCAGATTATAATTTATACAATACATAACATGCATAATTATGAAAGAAAAAGACGATACAAGTTATAATTATAACTTGTATCCTTTTTTTTCATAAAATTGAAATATTCCTATTGAGTTTCCTTCTTTCTTCAATTTAATCTTTCCAATCGAAATTTTTAGTAAATACATTTAAGTGTAGCTTCGATATCATTAAATAGATTGTGATGTGATATCGAAGCTACACTTAAATGTTTTTACTAAAAATTTCGATTGGAAAGATAAAATCTTTGGAAGAGTAACGGATGTGGAATAATCATAAAACGGAAAAAAACAGAAATTAATATTGGCCTTCTGCTTTGAATGCAGAAAGGGAGGCTTACTGCTAAACAACGTGCTGGGCATCGTGGGGGCGTGCCTGATGGGTTTCACGAAACTTGCTGAGTCATACGAGATGCTGTTTTTTGGACGGTTTATCATCGGTGTCAATTGTGGCTTGAACACCTCGTTGGTTCCCATGTACATATCGGAAATAGCGCCATTGAACCTGAGAGGCGGCCTAGGCACGGTGAACCAGCTCGCTGTTACGGTGGGCCTCCTGGTCTCCCAGGTGCTGGGCATCGAGCAAATCCTTGGAACAAACGAGGGTTGGCCCGTTCTCTTAGGACTAGCTATCTGTCCTGCCATTCTACAGCTACTGCTGCTTCCAGTATGCCCGGAATCTCCAAGGTGTGTGTCGAAAAAATAATATAAAATTATTTATAATTGAAAGAAATGAGTTTCTCCGATATTTTTAAGTATATTCTTCAAAGAGCTTGATTGAATGATTGTACGATATTAAAGTACCGTTCACGATTTTTTACGTTCTTATTAATTGATACACAAGCGATGCCGCAGTCTATTAATCGAAAAAAAAAATTATTTCAGATATTTGCTCATTACTAAACAGTGGGAGGAAGAAGCTCGAAAAGCTTTGAGAAGGTTGAGAGCCAGTAACCAAGTAGAAGAAGACATTGAGGAGATGAGAGCGGAGGAACGAGCTCAACAAGCTGAGTCCACGATATCGATGACAGAGCTTATATGCAGTCCAACTCTAAGAGCACCTCTCGTTATTGGTGTGGTTATGCAACTTTCGCAGCAGCTTTCGGGTATCAATGCCGTAAGTAACTATTTTTGTTCAATTGCTCCTGTTATTGAGTCGCTCTGGATTAATTAATTGAAGCAATCTGACGTGAAATTATTGTTCTAGGTATTTTATTATTCCACGAATCTGTTCACTAGTTCTGGTTTAACGGACGAGAGTGCCAAGTTTGCAACCATTGGCATAGGTGCCATCATGGTTTGTATGACGCTAGTGTCTATCCCACTCATGGATAGGACAGGAAGGCGTACGTTGCACTTGTATGGTCTTGGTGGCATGTTTATCTTTTCAATATTCATCACAATTTCGTTTCTCATAAAGGTGAGTTGAAATTTTATCGCGTTTTTATGACTTGTTTATCATTATTGTTATTTTAATGATAGATTATAATAAGCAATTTATCGAATTTTCTTATTGCTTACGTACGCGACAATTAACATTGGTTTAAAAATAGATACTAAAATTCAATATTACGGATACTGGAATATCAAGAGGAATTCATCACAGGAATCTAAAAAATTTTTAAATCGTATTTTTTTGGCATCGAATTCTTTGATTAGGCTTTTCAAGTTAACGATTGAAGAAGCAAGATTTTTTTTTACTTAAATTTTGATAATAAAATAATATATATGTCTTTATATATTGAATAATTACATAGAATAATTTATCTTGCTTGGAAAAATGTGATAGAAGATGGAGATTTCATTGACAATGGCGGATTTATTTATTAATACTTTTCCGTACTGTTAAGAACTGCTTTACTCAGGAAAATGGCATCACAAAATCGTGAATTGTAGCTACGTATCTGTGCTTTGGCACTTTATGCACCTTGGCGAAAGGTGTACTTAACACTTTGTTCACAGCTGGAGTGCGGCACTGCACCGACAGTGAGAATCACCATTATATCTATACGAATTTGCATCAAAGAATCGACTCATTTTAATTTCTCCCCGCCATTCACATGTAGCCAATAAGTCACGTCCTTTGCCCGCATGACATTTCATTTATTTGCGATATAGAAATTTTTATATCTCGATACATGGACACGTACGTGCTTTACGTGTATAAATTTTTTGTCGAAATAATTTTTAAATTTAATACAAAACGAAATAATTCTTAATACAGATATTTTAAATAGATATTTTTAGCAATTGTTTTTATTATAAGATTGAACGATTCTGCAAATGAAATGAAATCAAGGCCTATAAACAAAGATAAGAGATAAAGTTTGTAAAGAAATGAAAATATTTAATTTATTGTATCATTATTGTTTTCGAATGAATTTGATATCGTCATTTTTTAACTAAATTTATCCCTTATGTTTGTTTATTAGTCTTGGTTTTGTTTAAATTTTATTTTGTTGAAATAATTCTATTAGCTGAACTGTAATTAAGTAATCGATAGAGGCGCGAGAAAAAATGTGAATGCAGCAGTGTCGCATGTATCGTATATCGCACGCCGTATTTCGTTACTCTGGCTTACTAGTAGTTCTGCTTTTTGATGAAACCCGCTTCCCTCCTCCCCTTCACTACTGACGACCTCTTTCGTGACTGTCTGGAGGAGATTTACTTCCCGTTTATTAATCAGCCTATGTTCTCTACTTGGCTCAAACCTGTCACTCTCTATATATCACATTACATCAACAATTAACATGTTATTCGCGAAGTCCCTAATATCAATTATTATCCTTTGTGTACAAAATTAACGGTTCTTTAGCTGCTGAATGTCTAGCACCGACGCTTTCACATTACGGGATTCAAAAAAGAATAATTCGCTTTTTAGTAACAACTACTTGTACCACTAATTGCAAGAACCGTCGTGCAAATTCGCATCTCACGTTCCTATTATTATGAGGATATTGTAAGGATACTATGATATATTATAATTTTTTATATTATGAGAATATTATAAATTTTATAATATTCTTATGAGAATTGTGAGGACACGGTTCAACTTTCTCGTACGTAAAATTGTAGAAAAGATATACAGTTATATACGTATACAATAATATAGTTTTTTTTTCTGAAAAATTTAAGAAAAAATTAAGAAAAAATTCAATTCGAGACCATCTGCACATAGATGTTTCGCGCGTACGACTGATCGCATTACCACTCTAATTGAGGTCAAAGCAAATCCTGGCACTCATCATGGAAAGCAGCGTACCGTGCTTCACCGCTTAACGAGAGATTGTACTGTACATAACAAGGCACTCTGTCGTTATACAAAATACTTTGCCGCAATCACTTTGTCAATGCCAATGCCTTTCATTACACAGGGTTGAGCTGCGCACCGCATGCGGCATTACAAATTATTACGCATACGTTCGACATGTGTTATCCGAAAGTTTTTCGATTGAGTTCCTAGCCTGCCGTACTTTTTTATTTTTATTTTTTCCTGAGGCTCCTCCAGCTGCTCAGGAAAGAAGAACACAATTCTACTGCCTGATAGGAGTTCTTTGGCTATGTGCAGGAAATGATCGACTGGATGTCCTACATCTCGGTAGTGTCGACTTTGTGCTTCGTCGTATTCTTCGCCGTAGGGCCCGGATCTATACCCTGGATGATCACGGCAGAATTGTTCTCGCAAGGCCCTAGACCCGCCGCCATGTCCATCGCGGTTCTCGTCAATTGGATGGCTAATTTTTTGGTTGGCATCGGTTTTCCAAGCATGAAGGTAAGACAACAATCAATTCTTTTTAAATAAACTTCCTTTATTCGCGAGGTAAATGACTGAATGATTATACGAGTCATTGAATAATTGCAAATAATTAAACTCGATGGAAGAAAACGCTAATGGATATTACAGTTGTAATAGTTGTTTTAGTAACGTTGTTATTAATTAATATGATGGAATGTAACAATTATATAATTATATAATCCTATTTTATATATTAGGTGTTGGAATTAATTCGTAGCGTTTTTAATGAAAGAATGTTATTTATTTCACATGAGCATTAAAAAATACATTAATGAAAGTACTTCCCATCACTTGTAAAACGCTACGAATTAATTCCAACACCTAATATATATATAAACGTGCGTATGCGTTGCGTGTTACAGAGTAGCCTTGAAAACTACACGTTCCTACCGTTCAGTGCATTTCTAGCCATCTTCTGGATCTTCACCTACAAGAAGGTTCCTGAGACCAAGAATAAAACATTCGAAGAGATTCTAGCTTTATTCAGGCATGGTAACGACAGGTATGCAGCACATAAGCAAATTATTACCTTCCCCAGTACGTACCATAATAGCAAAATGTTATATACATAGTTGGATATATATTCTGCATCCGCCTTTCTTTAATTTCTTTCAAAAGGAGATCTCTGGTGTATACCTATATATACATGTATATACGTATGTATAGTTTAAATCCGCAATAGCTCCCCCTTCCCCTCAATCTGTGTATCCCGTTTATTTTTGACTCGACTCATATTGGGTACGTTTTAAAGTTAAGTAAGAGAAAATCGAAATTTACAATTTTCGAACTAATAACCGCACAATTTATTTATTAACCATTAATTGCACGAGAAAAGGAGAGTTAAAGAGATTTTCAGATAAACTTATTCTATGTACTGTACTTGGTGTACAATGTACTGTTATTACGTCCGTCCGAACGTTCATCCGTCCGTCTATATATTCGATAACGAATACGTTTGTTACTTATAATAAGAACTTCTCGAATCTTTAAGAAGGAATTTTATAATTTATTAATACGATCTCGTAATATTCTCTCTATTGTATTATAACTCTACTCCCGGGATAGTATATTAATTATTATTATTAACGCTACGCATTTTTGCATGCATCGCTGCTTGTTCGAAGCAATAACAGAAGTTGAACTGTGATAAAGTTTCGTTCTTTTTAGGGGGAGGAAATTAAATTTCACTTATATATATATACGGGAACATTATTTGTACATATTTATAAGTACAAGCTAAAGTAGTTTGTAAATTTCGCCTTAAAGTTTCATCACTTGCTTGGTTTCCCTTTATTGCAAATCCCGATATTTCGAACTTCTTTCTTTCGTTAAGCTGTTGCAAGGAAAAGTACGTACATTTTTACATATACTTGCGAGTAAGACGCAACACTAATCGAATAGCAAGTAGAAGTGATAATGTGCACGACATTGCGAATCATGTAACGAGATTATTGTATGAGAAAAGTGTAAAAAAATGAAGCAAGTAACCGTAGGTTATTAGTTTCTGAAAAGTGTACACCACAGAACGTAATTTTATCATCTCATTTGCGGAATATTGCGAACGACGTACAAATCAGCTATCTCGCTGTTGATTCTCTTATCAGTTCAGACATTCTATTAGATTTTCCGGGAGAGGATCGTGAAAACGTGTCAGCTCTGTATTACATAGGAAATACTAATCATCGGTCATGTAAAATGCCGATTTATTTGATTTCTTAATGGCATTGCGATTCCTTTCGAGTTATGTATACGTTATTGATTCGAGTCGCGAGTTGGCGATTTTGCTGTCTTATTGTTATATTTTCAAGGCCAAATGGATACATTCTGTTTGTTTAACGTATTGTATATGTATCATTTCAATAAATCGATTATTTCATGGTTCTCTGGATAACTGGATAATTTTCGTTGATTTCCGTATTTCGTTACTACGACGACTACAATTGTGTTCGATATATCGTAACTGTGCTTTCTGTGTTATTCGGAGCAGGAGCAGCTTGCGGGACAGCAGACTTTATGGGTGAGTCCTGCTACTACACATTTCCTGTTACTGTGGTGGCTTTGTTACGAGATATATTATACCGAACATACCGATTATTATTTAACTGCATGAAGATAAATGACCAAAGACACCACTAGTTACATCGAAAAGAGGGATTATTTTTTATGCGTTGAACATAAAACACCCGTAATCCTTCAAGTAAAATGCCTTTCTCTGCAAAAAGCTAGTTTAAAAAACCGTTTCTTACGGGATATTGGAAAGCATTAAAATACAGAAGAGAGGCGGAAGAAAAATCGAAATATTTTCTCCTATTTCTTCTTTCGCTTATTATCGTTTTCGACGCAATCGTCGAGATACGATTACGAACAACTGTGCTGAACTGTTTAAAAAATAATCCTGATCCGGCCGACGCGATTATCATGACTTCAATCCAAAAGGCCTGGCATGCCGAAACATCTTTACTATCAGCTAATGCGAATCTCCGTCTTATTGCGTAATCAGTCAGGCTGACTAAAGAGAATCAGATATACATACATATAGCTGCATGAACATAAGTTGTTACCATATAAATTATTCGTTTTTCTTTTGTGGAGATACATTTCACAGTTTCTAAAAGTTCGTCAGGGCTATTATGTAATCGATACATGTAATGCGCATACGTTTGTACCCGCGGCTAATCCCGATGGTGTCCGCATAATTCCACACTTTGTCACTGCTGTTCGAGAACCTTATTTCTTTTTTACCTCGGAATAAATTGCCATGTTTACAATCTCTTCGATGGTATCCGCGCTTCTGAATACTTCATGCTCGTATATTTAGAAAACAGGGGGAAACTTTTGCCTTCGCGGACGCCTGTGGTTAAAATCACATACATAACAGCCCCGATCACTTGAATTCCTCCTGGAGCCTTGTATTCTACAGCATGCTCCTTTTAGCGTACATACAATGCCCAGTTAAATGTTTCGGCGACAGGCAGAGTCTTGGAACAGTTTTTATGTCGATAGTTGGCACGAGTTTATGGCGCTGTACTGTGCGACTGCATGTTAGTGCTTACGTTACTTGTTTGGCGTACCAAAGTGATTCCTGAGTTGTGTTTAAGAGATACGATGCCACAAACGTGTTTGTGATCAGCGAGTAGGACGCTTCTGTAAACTTAATGACCCGCTTTCGGAATTTCGATGCAGCTGTGGCTCTTCCTCAAAGAGATCTGGCAATTGAAAAATGAGAGCGTTCGAAAAACATGGAGTACTTAATATTTTTTATTATACAAAAAATAATCATCATTTTTTTTACTTATATTAAAATCAATTTAAATGTCAATACCAAAATTCTTGAAAAGATATTTTTAGGATTTTATAAAAATGCTCGTTTGAAAAACTCCAGAGATATTTGAGGAAGAACCAGAGTACCATTAATTACGTCGAAATCTTGAAGGTGGAAAGTTAATTTTACAGAGCGAATGCGGCATAGACCACCGTTTTGCATCGTTTTATATTCGTCGTGTTAACATCGCAAGTGATAATTTATACGTGATCTGGATTTAATTAATTTCTGCGGTGAGAGAATCAAGCTTTCCTTTATTTAATCAGTGCAGCTCTCGATAAACTCGTATACAAGACATATTTTTTTTGTTCCTTTCCGGTTTCTCTCCTTTTACTTTTATTTTGATTAAGGTTTTGCCGAAACATTCATCAACGATTCAGACAGAAATCTTATCAAGATAGCTAAGTCGACAGCTGGTTACGCAGCTTATGATTTAGCGGAAATTTCTTCGATCTGTTTTTTTTTGAGATGAGCTAATTAAAACGCGTCAGCGTAATGTTTCTAGTTGAATGGTAACTAATATTGGATTGAAGGTAATGTGCATTTGTGAGCTTTTTTTCTCGCGTTTAAACACGTTTGTATTTACACTAAGAAAAATATTTGACACGATTCGCTATTTATTTTGTTGATATGTGACTTATACAAATTTTCTTATTTTTTAATTTAAAAATTTTATTGTTCTAATTAAATTTAGCTAACTAAATTTTAATTAGAACAACATAATTTTTTAATTAAAAATTAAGAAGTTAGCATAATTTCTTACCTTTTAATTAAAAAAATTGTTTAGTTATTCCAACTAAATTTTGGTTTTAGAATTTTTAAATTAAAAAGTAAGAAAGTTTTTGAAAGTTACAGCCCAACAAAGTAAATGGCTATTCATATCAAACATTTCTCGCAGTGTGTCACGGAGAATAGCTTTTGGAAGTGGAGACGCGGTGTTGGAGAATTTAAGATACAAATATTAAGTGTATGGTACGAATTTACTCACTCGCCTGTAAATTTGTTTGCTTAATGAGTAACAAACTAACAATATGATCGCTCTGCAGCTTGTAACAATGTTAAAGCAAATGTTTATGCTGAGTTGTATCTCTACAATCTCTGACTCTTAACTTTTGTGTTAGTCATTCGATTTTCCTTTTATTTCTACAGTTCTGTCTCTAGGCGAGGAAGGGAGATGTAATTAATTGCAGTTAGCATTTGATATCAGTACAATTGATTTGTATAGAATAATCGCGATAAAGGAAAAGTTTCGGGACGGTAAATGTTTGAGAAATCATTTAGTCTACGAAAAATCATTATAAAATATATTTTCATACAACGGTTCATTGATATTTAAATTTACATTAAATTTAAAATAAGTAGCTTATAACGCTATGCTCTCAGTTAAGATCTTTGTCGTAGATATAGATTACACACCATTTATCTTGCGTGTCGTTTTATCGTCACAATTATTGATTCTGATTGCTATTCTATCGGATAGTACAATACGTTTTAGAGATATCGATCAGTAGAGAGTTCGGTTGTGATAGTTCGAGATATGACAAAGATACGATAGAGAGGTAAAAGAGTTTTCTTTTTACTCGTCCGTGTAGAGGATGCATCTAACACACGTCTTAGCAAAACAGATTTGCGAAACACGTGCAGATTCACGCGAAAATAAATAGGATTTCTCTGACAAAACTGAAACGATTCGAGGCTCGATTGCCATGTAACGTTGTTGTCTTACAGGGAAGAGGAGCTCGCCACTAACTCTAGCAAGGAGACCGTCCTATCTGACGCCACCACTGCCAACCATACCCACGCTACCGATAAACTATAAATCTAAACGCTCTAATCAGCAATCGAATTGGCTGTTGATTCGAAAAATAAAAATAATAAAAATAAAAAATTATCGTAGACCGGCGCTTCAGCCGCAAGACTGTTATTGATTTAATATACATTGTTATATATCGGATGACACGAGAACTGTAGTACTCACTATAATATGAAACTGTTAATCGATACGCACTGTATAATTCACGTTAAAAAACTTCGAGACTGCTAGTAAATATTATATTAACGAATATTATTATATATTAACGAATATTTCGGCATCACCGAATTAAGATAAAAGTTATGGTTTTATGCTGTAAAATAAATCTCTTTCTTTATTTAATTATTCGGATTGAGTTTCCTCCTTCCATTCGTGTTACATCTTACGCGACGTATCGGGATCGATTTTGATTTCTCGAGTAGCAACGCAAAGCGAAGTCGATGTGCGACGAGACTCCACGAGAAAAATCGTATCTGCTACATAGAAAGATGTGTAAATATGTATGTATCATTTCGCTTGTCGAAATTACGGATGGATTCCCTTTGATCCTTTTGGTAGGAGATTGTTCCTGATGAATTTCCGCCAAGTGTTACTTGCCACACAGGCTGCCGAATATATTGTTTGATTCTTAGTAAGTATATACGTAAATTTCTACTACACAGGCCAGTGAAACGCTGTATAATAGTACAAGATTAGAAACTGTGAAATGAATCGTTACGTATACATATGCATTATCGAGTGTAATCGCGTGAGTAACTCGATTCAAGATCCGTGAATCCCTAATAGATCCACGGATCTTCGAATCCATGCCTCCGTTGCATGGAGAGAACGATTTTGCTGAAAGATCTAAAATTGTGCCGGTTACGGATCTGAAAATAATTTTGTTGGACCAAAATAATTTTATCGAACTATCAAAATAATTTTGTTAGAAACTCAAACTGATTGCTGGAAATATACAAATCTTTTGCAGCATGCATCATCATTTTTTCCAACATAATTATTTTGGTGCTCCAACAAAATTACTTTCAGATGTATATTAAGCAAAATTTTAGATCTTTCAGGAAAATTCTTCTTTTCGTGTGGATTTACGAGTAACCGTTATCAAAGCGGTCATAGCGGAGAGAAAAAGCGAATTTAGCTTACTCTACGTGACTGGAACGTCGAACAATTTAGGATCGACTCTGAATAAACGCCTAAAGTATTGTCTGGAATGCCAGTGGGGCTGGGAGCGCCGAAGAGCGCAGAGCGATATCTTCGTTTCTTTTGCATTTATTATCTCAGCGTGTAACGATCTCAGATTGCGCGATCTACATAAAGACGAATCTACATTTTCCCATCGTAAATCTCGCATCTCTTAAGTTTCTCTTTGCATTTATGTAGCCATTTTATCTTTCTTACTTTTGATCATCAATCATTGCTCAAAATATCATGTATCATCATATTTAATAATTCAGCTGATCATTGCAGTATATAATAACATTTTGTAAATTCATAGTGAAATCGTGAATAACGGTGTAGCTGACTCCACGAAATTTGATGATTCATTGGATCCGAATGAAAGCGATTAAATTAAGAACGCAAATGATAAGATTAAGCTGCAAGTTCATTGTATATTTTGTACGTTGCGTTTACACGGTGCATATCAATCGGTGCTCCAAAAAAGAATTTTGTATAATGAGGAGAGGAAAGGAAAAAAAAGATTGTAAGAATCAACAGAAATGTGATTTGAAGAAGTGGAAATCTGGACAAGTCGCGTGATGTTTTACAGGAGCATGCTAAACTGTGTGAATGCATTAGAGGGACACATACCGCCAGCTGAGAGCGCAGCCCTGATGGTGGCAGAGGAGAAGCCACATCCTGATTCATGTAAGGCTTTAAAGAAAAAAACCTGACCAGCATCAATCACGATACATTGTAACACGATAATTTGTAATCCCTGTCATTTCTGTCCAAAGACAAACAATTCTCTAAACGCGGATGCGAAATCGCGATCGAGACTAGCTGCGTTTACCAGAGAAAACTGATCAGTATGAGCTCAATGATCGTTAATAGGATTGTTTCTTGCTTTTATTTCTTCGCTATATCTAAATGTAGGAACCGATCATATTAAAGAATCACTGAGCACTCAGTAATAAATTTTCTCTGCTGAAAGCAGCCACTGTCATTTTCTCTCTAACCGTTGCGATGATTGGGGGGTGATCAGGTGCTCTCGATTCAGTAAACGAGCACGATTCCTCGTAACTTCGTCCCGTCGATACATGGATCATCTCTTTTTCATCGATAAGAGAGATTCTATGCGAATGCGTCGAATTCGTCGAATGGGAACTGACGTACACGCGCTGATCGATCTCTGTGAAACTCGAAGTCAAACTTTTCAGAGTAGCTTTTTCATCGCATTAGATTTTTACATTTTTGCTCCCTTACTTTAAAAGTGACACAACTAAAAAAATTAGGCTTCCCTAAAAAAGGGAAGAACTGTTTTTCAATTTGTCAGAAAATTATTGAAATTATTATCAATCAAATAATATTGACGAAAAGTACATATTCTTAATCAAATGTTAATTGTAACGATTCTTTTGAAATTATTTTTTCTGAGTAATGATTTTTTCAAACCATCTGTTTTTTTAGTAACAATTTTTTTTAAATCTGCACTCTTTTGAATTGTAACGATTTTATAAAAATAATTCATTTTAATGACTTTTTATGAAGTTAAATTAGTTTAGTTTTACAATTGAGGATAATATTTATTTAACTCATTCATGATTTATAATAACTCAATCACGATTTTTTGATTGTCACTTTTGAAGTAAAAAAGTGTTTTTCATAATTTATATTATTTATTTCTTATATACACCACACATTATGTTTATTTTTTAATCATTTTGTTTCACGCCTGATCACCTCATCAATCATCCATTAAGTCTCCGCTACGTCTTTGCGTGTTAAAGCATTAAAAAATTACATTATGTCACGTAAATGTAAAAAGAGGTAATGCTAATCGTGCGAATCAATGCGATCATCAAGTATACAGGAATTGTTTGCCACATGTCATCATCTTGCATGCCATAATGCCGTATATGTATGTTCGTAAGTTTTCCTGATTTGTAGTCTCATTGTGGAACATCTGTTTTGAATTTATTTGCGAACGTTTCTTTTCTGCTTTCAGTATAATTCAGAAAGTGCAGAGGCGTCAAAGTGCTGGTTATACGACAGTCAAACTATACATTGTGCCGCTTCACGCTACAAGACACACGCGAGCGGTCATAGCGGGAACACTATTAAATTTTATTCACCTTTTCGCGTTAACAACAGCTAATCAGGAAAGAAAATATAACGAAGTAGATCGACACCAGTGTAACGTGTGCCATACCGAGAGATCAGAAACCTTTAACCTGCTTATAACATCATTCACTCATTAGAATTGCACAAACACATGAAAAAAAAAATTTACTGAATAAGGTATTTAAAAATTTAGTTAGATACAAATTAAAAATAATTTTATAGGACTATCAAAATAATTGTAGGAAACTCAAACTGATTGTTAAACTAGAAAAAAAATTTATTTAATAGAGTTTTGATATAGATTTTTTTCAATAATAAATCTTTAATAATATTAAGTTTTAGTAAAAATTTACTTAATCTTAATACATACTTTTTTCAATAGTACTAACTTGTAGCATTTATTTACAGTAAATAAATGTTTATCTAATATTATTCAAACAAATATTTATTAAAATTTAATATATTTTAAGTCAATTGAGGAAAAATATTAAAATTATTATTGTTTAATACATTTTTCTCTCATTGTAGAAAGTCGAAACTTTTTGCAGCATTGCTCATTATGCTTAAATTTTCTACTTAATTTTGATGGCCCAACAAAATGAATTTCAGATTTGTATTTGTCTAAATTTTAGATATTTCAACAAAATCATTTGTTTCATGCAGATATCTATTTCATTTAAGCTGTCATCTGCTTACGAGAAAAATTAAATTTCAAAAAATCTAAACCGAATCTATTTCTATCAATCATCGACATTCGAAATCTTCCTCTCGCTCGTATTTGTGAATTCTCGTCTTCACTTTGCATAATAATTTACGTTGATATATTCTACATATTCTACGTTAGCTTACTTTTTGTTTTACACTGCTTGGGTTAGGCACTCTCGTGACATGAACTCGTTGGAGTTTCAGTTTCGAAGAGCTTATTTTTCTGACAATATATTCACGCACATCATATAGAAAATATGTAGCTGTGCAGCAAATTTACGTTACACATGAATCGAACGATCGAATATCTCAGACTGCCTTTTATCACTATTATCGAGTTCTTGACGATATCTTTTTCGTGATAGTTTGTAATGTAATTATAAACATTGTGTGTGTATGTGTGTGTGTGTGTGTATGTGAGATCTCAGAATAATAAGCTCTCTCTCTCTCTCTCTCCACACATATACACACACACACACACGCACATATATATATATATATATATATATATTTCACACACATCTATTTATCGTCGTCTCTGTGCAACACAACAGTTCTCCATCCTGTATCTACACTTTGGACTTAATTAACGCTACGTAATTACACGAAACGAGAAAGTGATAGACACTCACGTATTGCTTCGTTTCTACGAATATTATATTATCGTACATCATGCGCTATCGACACTGGCCTTTGTAGTAGTTTAAAGGAAGGCAGGCCAATGTGAATATATGTATATTCCTCACTGACACATATTATACTGATGTGTAGCATCTCTGAATCCCGGAGCGAGGATTCGTTTCGTTATATAATAACTTCTTAGGCCAATGTACATACATATATTTGACGTTGTTGTTAATTTTAGTACGGTGCTGTACAATCAATTTTCGCAGCATGAATGGTGTAAGGGGCATGCGCGCATGAATGTAATCTCTAGTGCGTAGGAGCAAAAGGTAATTTCATCTCTCGTGACAATTCCGGACGTTTGGCTTTGAAAACCTCAAGTCACTTAAGTCAAATCGCGCGTGAATGAACAATTATAACTAAAATAGTCCGAGGGACACGAATATATTCTTATTAATGTAACGAGTATTTTCTCAAATTAAAATATAAATAATTAACAATCTCAAATTAACACTATTCTCAAATCGCGTGGATTTCTAAGCACATAATAGACAGCGATAATATTATTTTACATACGGAATGGTTTTTCTGAAATATCTAAAAATTTATATTTAGATACAGATCTGAAAATAATTTTGTTGGACTATCAAAATAATTATGTAGGACACTCAAATTAATTGCTAGAATGTCAAAACGATTTGCAGTTTTACTTGAGTTTTCTGAATAATTATTTTTATGATCCTACAAAATTATTTTCAAATCTATATTTACCGAAATTTAGATATTTTAGCAAAATCGTTTTTCTGTGTGACAATCCTATCATTTTTTTTTTATCACTTGAGAATTCCATTAAAAAATATTCGTAATCAATGAGCAAAAATATTTTATAAGCAATATGGAAGACGCTATTTATCTCGTAAATATTGATCGTATTTTGGAAACAAAATAATTTTTAACGCTACTAACCTTCTTTTTGGCCAGTTTTTAAGTGCGCTTATAAATTGCATGGGATTAGCTCTGAGACTAAGAGTAGCGGCTATAAAGAAGGAGCTCTCTACATAAGATCGCGTTGTTTTCGAGAATAACTACTAAAACACGAAGGTGAAATAAATTTCCTCGCTGACGACCTGTCCACATTAATCGAGAGAATAAAGAAAGATTCTTGTATCGCAATCTGTCACGGTGAAAATTAATTCGAGGAAAGACCGAGGAAAGACCGAGCGTAGCCGCCGAGAGCAATAGAGAAGCTTGCTTGCTCGTCTCCTATGAGATACATACACATATCTATCATACCTTTTAGCGATGTGTCCGGAAAAGTAGTTGGCAAGATAAACGTACATGTACGCGACGCGGCAGTATCGCGCGCGTCGAGATGAGGAAGTCGCGTATCGTGAGACTAACGTGCACCCCACAGTTGTGTTTGCAGCTGGATCCGAGCGACAGCGGTGTCTGACAACGGGAAACAGCTCCTCTTAATATCGGTAACCTAGTGATCATGAACGCGCCGATACCGCTACCGTTGCTGCTCACCACCAGCAGCCTCAGCTTGGAGACGCAGCTCTACGAGATCATCACCGAGAGCAGCAAGGCGTGCGCGGCGTTCCTGCGGCATAGTCTGCGCCGCGCAACCAGCCTCGGCTGGACCGCGACTGAGAGCTTCGAGACGTCGGCAAACGGCGTAATGTACAACGAGCAGTGAGAAGCAGTGAGAAGAGAAACGGGATGGGGAAAGGAGCCGTTGGAAAGACGCCGTTTCGTACGACGACGACGCGGTCAAGTGCGATTCACGCGGCGCAGCATCCGCTGGACCGTCAATACGATTGCTCGCGAGCGATGCGAGAGGAATGTTGAGGGAACGAGTGTTCCCCTCCGTTGGTCGATCACGTCTCTTTATCTGTCTGTCTGTCTGCCTGTCTGCCTGTCTGTCTGTCTGCCTGTCTGTCTGTCTGTCTCTTTGAGAGCTGAATTAGTTCAACGAAGAGCATGGGGTCGATCGGGGTAATTACCGTTGGGAAATATTACCATCATACAGCACAGACCTTCAAGGAACGTCTTAAAGATGTCCAGAAAACGTTTTTACGTTCTAAGGATGTTCATAGGATGTTCATAGGATATTGGGTGCTGTCTGGGAGAACGAATATTATGAAAATATATACCTCAGCATTATATAGGATAAATGAGGCATCGCGATATTTTCTCCAATGATATTAGCTGGGCGTAACTTCTTAATCGGTTCCGTAATAACTATTAAACGACATAATTATTCAAATGATTTCGCGCACAGAAACGATTTTGCTGAAGTATTTAAAAATTTAATTAGAGACACACAAATTTGTGTGAAAATAATTTTGTTAAATCATCAAAATAATTATGAACGGTACTCCAAAAACTTTGACGTTTTAAAAATCAACTCTTATATAATTATTTTGAGATAGACTAAATAATTTTCTGATCTACGTCTAAATTTTTAGATACTTTTCTTACAAAAACCTAATACTAGCCAATTTGTTACTGAAAGACAACAATTAATTGCTTCTTTTACTAAATCACTAAAAGTACTGAACTTACAGTGCTTTTAATACTTAAAATATAAGTGATTAATCACCGTCTTTCAGCAGTCTGTTTTTTTTTCTATAACTGAATTAGTGTAAACTTTTAGAACTTAAAGTGAAATACGTATATATTATGTTTAATATTTGACGAAAACAAGAAAGAAAATTCGAGTGCAGGAATAAAGAACAGATCTAACATTAAATTGGCCAGTATTAGATTTCTACGTGAGAATTCAGCAAAACTGTTGTTTCCAATATACAGAAGATGATTATCAGGATCGTCGTAAAAAAAATATTCCGGTGTTGCGCTTATTCCTCGAGTCGAGATTACCCCCCGATCGAGCCTTCGTCTCGACGGTGCTTAGCGACGATAAGATAATTCGGCATGGGAATGAATAATTATTCGGTTTCGAATAAAAAATAAATATGCTACGAGGGATGCTGAGATCGACGCTCAGCCGCTTGGCGGGATGAATCTCAAAGACGACGAACGCGAGATGATCCTCTTGGTGAAAGCGGAAGATTCTTATCGAGTCTTCCTCTTGAAGTCGGAAGAAGACACCGCGCGTAACGTTAACGAGGACGATGGGACGAGCGCGCGATCGTGATAGAATAACCGACGTGTTGCGAAAGTGATTTGTGCCTAGACGAGTATACGTTTGGGAAAAGGGAACGTGATGATTATGAGAATTGACGCGTCGCGATCTTACGCACTGCGAAAGTGCACTCGGGACTTCGTGCGACATCGAAGGATATATCGAAACCGTGAATGGGCGCCCGCCGAAAAGGGCGTCTCGAGCGACGGCGGAAGGGAGGAAGGACGGTCCTTCGTCCCAATTCATCCCCCGTCGTTGCAAAACTCCTTCATCCATTCGGAGCAAAGGCGAAAACGTGTATCTATATATATCTTCACTTTTATATCATTAATTTTCTAGGACTCATGTTCGGGACTACGTGTCGTTTTTGTATCACACTGTCCTCTGTACGATTCATCGCACCGTGTTGTGTAATTATTAGAAACATGCGCTGTTACTTCCGCGACGACGACGACGACGACGACGATGACGAATGGCGTACGATAATAGTGTACTATTGCGACTGCCATAATATCCGCGACGACTTTAAAAAGATTACGAGAGCTGCCCTCGAGACACTGTGATATTTTCTTTTCGTCATTTCCGGCGCTCGATCCCGGAATTATCGAGAGCGAATGTATACGCTAATTGCCGGAGAGACGAAAGTGTTCCCTGAATTCGTTCGTTTCGCGAAAGGAATGGTCTCAATTAATTGACGAGCCTGATGATTCGAACGTTTGAAGAAGAATCGTTAAACC